TTGACGAAGCTATATTGCTCCACCCAAATGTCGTCACTCGCATTGCATCCAGTGGTCACTTCGACCTCGAAATCGTGGTGTCCAAATTTTGGAGCAAATCAGCTAGCGTCATGAGTGATGGTCATGCTTGAGTACGATCGCCGTTTGGATTGGCCAAATGTGCGAGAAGCAACTGAAAGCTTTGAATATAATGCTATCTTTGCGAAATGTCACTTACAGTCTGTACAACAAGTTAATTGCGTGAATGCCCCGATTTAATAGCACGAACTTCAAGATCTTTAAGATATTAAAGTTAACCCAAGAAGTTATTCTTTCTCAAGTGCGTAATAAATAACTTATTTATGTTCACCTCGGGGAAAGATATATAGCTTCCTCTGTTCCATATTAGTGCCGACATTTGACTTCTAGACGCCCCCAAAAATTGAATTCTTGTCCAAATTCGATGAATCATATCATGTTCAAACGAGAATCCAAATCTAGATGAAAGTTCTATTGACTGTAAAGCGGGAAAATCAAATTTTGGCGCTCAATTTTTACTTCGCCACGGGTCTTCGAATAAAAATACAAAATGTGGAATTCAGAATTAAAATTTCCGGGATCTAAACACGTCGACAACCATGGCACGGCAGCCCACCGCAAGAGAGCTCTCCTACGCCAAGAAGATGGAGTAGGTCCGCCTGCATCACCTGACGGCCATGGGAAGCTTGGTCGCGGAGCAATCGTTTCAACTGCCTCCCAAATCAACATTCACCGAACCACCGTCTCCCGTATCTCGAAGGCCTGTCAACGAAACGCACTGGTGCCATCGTTAAAGGCAGGCCGTGTCGGCCAGCCGCCAATATACACTACAGACCTCGTCCTCAGTACTCTCGATGCAATCGCTACGCTCGACGATGTGCAACATGTCGGAAGCCACTGGCATTCCACTAGAATGAATCGACACAACCAAATGTACGACAAGAATCGGCAGAAGGATTGAACCAATCAAATTGCAGGAAACCATCACCGACATCGAACTAGTGTGTGACCGAAATTAGTGTGAATGCAATCACCGGGACACTTTTTCACATTCAAAAATCAGTGAAAAGAATCGATCGATAGATTTGGCAAACTAGCACAAAAGTCCAAAATTGGGGTAAAAGGACAATACTAAGTAGTAGTTTATTGTACCGATATCGTTCCGGTGGACTTCTGCATGCTGTTGGCAGCGCAAGCTGAATTAATAACGTTAATGGCTCCTCTGGATGCCGCGAATTATGGGATAAAATGACGAAAATCTAGGAGTGACTCGCAGGTGCTGTACGTCCGTCAAGATGCGGCACCGTCTTATGGACAAAACGGCCACCGCTGCACTCGACAGCAGCGGACTGTGGAGTACAGTGACGGTAGAGGACATCGCAGTATAGCGCTACTCCAGTCGTTTCCTCGACTCGACGATCGAAAACACTTAGTGTGTATACATCGGTGGACATCACAGTAGCCGTCCACCATCACTGCTCCGCTGTCCGCCACCGCGGCCACACCACAATGTCCTCCATCATGGACCCACTCCACCGCCCACCACCGTCGCCAGGTAAGTGACTTCCGTATGCCGTCACGGTGCGGAACCGTCTTCTTACCGGCACTACTGTGGATATCCCAACGTTAAACTAACTTCGCGTTGAGTCAACTACTTGAGAGCACCTGGGCAAGGATAACGCACCGCCATCTCATGGCCTAGCTTACGGGTAGCACTGCAGTAAAACACCACGTTTGCCGAAATTGCATCGGCAAACACCCCTATTAACGCATTATGGCATAAAATGACGAAAATCTCCATAAAATGGTGAAATCACAAAGTCGCGAAGTTGTTTCGTCTGGATACAGTAGTCCCCCACAATAGCGAACCTTTGATCGCAATCCGATATTAGAGGTATCACAGGACTAAGTGGTATAAAATACTACAGGATATTTGCTTGGGTACCAAGTCTCTGATTGGTCAGAATAATCCATATGTTTTGTCAAACCACGACAACGAAAGTGCCCTGATTGGACAATGGATAACATATTCGAATTCAGGAGGGGGTTGATACCCTGGCGGGAGTTGATACCCTGGCAAACTCCAGAAGACAAAAACCATCACATTACAAGTTATTAAAATTATTAGTCAATTCGTATACTACTTCGTGAAGTATTCCAGTATGCAGTATGCGGTAAGCCACCCCGACATAGTTGACTTGGCAGGTAGTTTGGGCAGCTGGAAAGCCGCGAGCGCGTATCGGCGCAGGCGGAGGCCTCGTAGCGTTGGATTGGACTCATGGTGCTCGAGCAACGTTGATTTTTGTTCGTCAGCCGTAGCCTCGACGGCTATGGCGACGGCATGATTTGAGTACCAAATACTTCGAAGTACTTGTTTATCATGTGTTGTGGACTATTTCAAATTTTGAAAAAAACTCTATAAACGGATGTATGAGTATTTTGGAATTTTATACATTTGGAAAGGATATCGACTTTACGTGGGTTCGGTATTGTGGGGGACTACTGTACAACAAAATCCAAAGGAAATATAACAAAATTATAGCTAGAAAGTTCACGACTTATGGCATAAAAAAATGGACCAAAATGGTCAATTTCTCATGTAAAGACAGTCCATGTGACCACTTCAACATCAATGTTCTGTCAAAACGGCGCATTTCGAAAACCGCAGCAACCACACAGCACACACATGGGCATTTGGACTATCACGTCGCTTGAGGCGCCGACGACGAAGCAGGATCATCATGGTCCTGAGCATCGTTTTGGCGCGCAAGTTTGAATCCGGATGAATCCAGACGGTTTCACCCTCACTTCTTTTTGTATTGCGTTTGTATATTGGAGAAATTTTGTAAAGTCTCATTTCGAGTTTTGGCATATTTTTATGGCGTGGTATCCAGAAGAGCCCTAAGCTTGCCACGGATTGTACTCAGATGTAGAATCAACAGGCTCTCGGCTGATATGTCATCCGAATTCACAATAACAGACTATATAACAATTCATACTATCGATTTTTGTTTCCCTATAGGGGTCACGACACCCTTCTCACATTTCAATTTTCCAGCAACTGCATCATGGTCAAGCCTACTTACATCGCTGCATTTGCTGCTCTGCCTACTTTCATCGCTGCATTTGCGGCTCTCGCCACGGCCAAAATTGCCCCCAGCGTCCACCGCCACTTGGAATCCAATGAGGACGTGGACATTTGATTGAATTCAAAGGAGGCAACCAGCGTGCGCTGGAAGCCGCCCGTCTTGAGCGGGCCAACTTTAACGATCGCGGCTCTAGCATCGCCCATGTGCGCTCCCTCTTGGAGAGCAACATGGAGACGTCCCATAGCGCGGCGGTGGAGCTGCTGTCCTCGCAGGCCAAAGCCTTGATGACCCCGATTCCTCAAGGATGCGCTGACATCAACTCCTAGACGAATTGCGAACGAATGGGCTGTCGATCTCATCGTGTAGAGGTTCATAGAGTAAATTGGAAAAGTGATTAGATTGTCATCTTAAACTACTAACTACGAAAATGTATACTGCACTAAACTACTTCAAGTTGAAGGTTATTCTCTACGCCTTCTTCAACGGCCTTGCCTGTTAATGGTGTGACAATATTTGACTTGTTCGACAGCCTTGCTTGCCATCGGTTTCGTTAACGATCCGACAAGCTGTATTTTTCGTCAGCAACCTTGCCATCGTTACATTCTCCCCCGGTTGTCGACTTGGCAGCTTTGATTATTGAACGCGGATCTTCGAGCAATCGTTTGAAATGGGAAACATGCTTGATGCTGCGCTCAAGCTCCCGAGTTGCTTCGTGTTCAGGCAAACCATGCCACTGGA